CCCGAGGCCTGCGGCCTAGGCCTCAGCGCGGCGGCGGGCTCGAGTGCGGCGCGGGGCCGGCCTGAGGGCCCTACTCGGCGGCACCATGAGTGTGGAGGCGTACGGGCCCAGTTCGCAGACGCTCACCTTCCTGGACACTGAGGAAGCCGAGCTGCTTGGCGCCGACACACAGGGCTCGGAGTTCGAGTTCACCGACTTCACCCTCCCCAGCCAGACGCAGACGCCCCCAGGTGGCCCCGGCGGCCCCGGAGGAGGTGGTGCGGGAGGCCCGGTCGGCGCTGGCGCGGGCGCTGCGGCCGGACAGCTGGACGCGCAGGTGAGCGGCACATGGCGGCGCCGGAAGCCCGGGCCGGGCCTCGGCGCCCGGGAACCTGCCCCGAGTCCCGCACTCCGGCGGCGTCCGAAGTAACCTGTTCCAGGTCCCTCACTCAGGCCCGGCCCAGGCTGACCTTCCCCGGGCTCCCCGATCCGGCCGGGTCCGGAGTAACCTGCCTCGGCTCCGGGTCTCTAGCCGGGCCGGGGCAGACCTGTTTCGAGTCCCGCTCTGGTGGGGTCCGGGTGATCTGGTCAGGATCTACTTCAGGCCGCGTCTTAGGTCACCTGCCCGAAGTCGCCTTCTGGGCGTGTCCGAGGTGACCTGCCGTCGGGGGTGACCTGTCCCCAAGTTTTCCTCCAGCTGAGTCCGTGCCCTGTTCAAGCCAGCTCCGTGGTGATCCGCCCGGGTTCCCCTCTGGCCGATCCGTCCTCCCTGCCCCACCCCCCACCTGTGGTCCCAGCCATCTGGGCATTCCCCCTCGCCCGCCCCCGATCATGCCCACTAAACCGCGGGTTCAAATTTCCCCGGGCCCAGGGACGCTGGAGAGGGCAGGGTCGAAGCTCCCGGAGTAGAAACGGAATTTTAGCCTCCAGTTGAGAACCCCACACTCGCTGGTTATGAAGATTATTCAAGAGACAGGTTGCGTTTTGTTTTTCCTTCTTGCATTGCCTGTTGCTGAAACCGACTTGTTATGTAACTCCACAGCTCTGTCTTGGAAAAGTTAGGTTTGAGTTTGTTCCTCCAATGGGGGCAGTGATAGTGGGTTTTACATAAGTGGTACTGCCACGTTGGAAAATTTTGTTTTTAATGATGTGAATGTTTAGGGAAAGCTACTTAGGTATTTTAAGTTTGGGTTTGGGTTATGAGAAGTATTAGGGACGCACTTCCTGAACCTAGGTCCCAGCTCTGGAGTGGCAGAGGGGACTGGCTGGGGTTTTGGGGTGGGATCCCTTGTCACAGGTGTTCCTTGGCATGAGGATCCACTGTCAGGGCTGGGGGAGCCACCCCATCCTCAGCCAGAGTGAGCTCAGACTCTGTCCTTGGGGGAGGAGGGCTAGCATTCTAGTTGATTGAGTCACTCTCGTGGGTAGACCACCCACTTGGATTTTCTTTTAGCCCCTAATAGAAGCAGAAAACATTTGACTCATTCTAACCCCAGATTTCCTTAAAAATAGATGCCTGATGGGTGGAGCATCAGGGAGAACAGGTGTGCAAGTATGTATTTTTTCAGCTTGGTTTACATATGGTGGAGGAAGATAGGAGAGAGTTTGCCTGGAGAAACGAATGAGCCGTTGGACACTCACGATGACACCTGTAGACCTCTCTGTTTTCACAGCTGCGAAATGGGGGTATCGGAGTTTTATTTTTGTTATACTTTTCAACATACCTGAAATCTGCACTTATGTTTGGATGGACCGGAAACATGCATGAAATCTGGACTCAAGTTTGGATGGACCAGATAACGCTGTTTGTAACTTGTGTCCAGTGCGTCCGGAGGCTGAGGATAAAGATCACTCAGTTGAGCGATGTGCCATGGTTAGTGGCAGCTCAGGGTTGGTAAAGGTAATCGTTTTACTGCAGATTCTTTTTAAGACTTTTATTGCATATTCTTTTCTTTATATTGGCCAGTGTTTTTCTGGCCAGTATAAAACAGCTCTGAGTTCTAGTTTTGTTCCTTGTATTCTGTTTGTGATCAGTGAGTTACAGGGCATGCCCTTCTCTTTCAGTTGAAATAATCTATTTTTCTGCACCTGAGCACTGAGTTGTATAAAATAAGAGCTTTAAAACTCTCCACCAGAGGTAAATGTTGCAGTTGAGCTCACCTGAGTTCTGATGACATCAAAAGGGTTTATCCTTCTTTACTTTTAATTAACTCAGATGACCCACTCACGTGTAGCCTAAGTTTGTGTTTGGGGAATGGGAGTTACATCCTTTGTGTCGTAAGAGAAGGCTCTGAATTTGGGGGCAGGAAAAGTCTGAATAGAATTGAAAAGTGGAAAAAAAGTTGATTCTTTCCTATGCCAGTTGGTGGCATTGGCTGCCTGCAACATTTGGGATTTTCCTTATTTGTCCTCAAGAGTTGGCTGGGTAACTAACTGTACAGTGGGGCTTCCAGAAAGACTCAAACCCATTCTGAATGCCTTTTGATTTTATCTTATTGAATGAGTAGCTGTAACTTATCAAGTGCTGTGCAGCTACTTCTCTTTCACAGCTTTCTTGAGATAGAATCCATGTAGCATACAGTTTGCCCATTTAAAGTGTACAGTTGGGTAGCTTTTAGTACATTCAGAGTTGTGCAGCCCTCACCGTCATCAGTTTTGGCACATTTTCATCACCCTAAAAAGAAACCCCATACCTCTTAGCTTGTCAGTCCTCCTTTCTCCAACCCCAGGCAGCCACTGATCTTTCTGTCTCAGGTTTACCTACTGTGGACATTTGATATAAATGACAATATGTGGTCTTTTGTGTCTCGTTTCTTTCACCAAGTATGTTTTCAAGGTTCATCCATGCTGTAACATGTATCTACTACCATTTCTTTTTTGACTGAACAGTTTTCCACAGTACAGACAGACCACATTTTGTTTATCCACTCATCTGTTGGTGGACATTTGGGTTGTTTATCCTTGTAGCTATTACAAATAATGCTGCTGTGAACATTCATGTGCAGGTTTCTGTGTGGCTGTACGTGAAATTGCTGGGTTGTGTGGTAACTCTGTGCATAACCTTTGCAGGAGCTGCCAGACTCCTTCCCAGCGTGCAGCCACTTTTGATACCAGTTTTGTTTAGTTGGTTTTACCTGAAAGTTTGTTTAAATTTTTTTTTAACGTTTATTTATTATTGAGAGACAGACACAGAGCATGAGCAGGGGAGGGACCGAGAGATGGAGAGACACAGAATCCGAAGCAGGCTCCAGGCTCTGAGCTGTCAGCACAGAGCCCGACGCGGGGCTCGAACCCACGAGCTGTGAGATCATGACCTGAGCTGAAGTCGGACGCTTAACCGACTGAGCCACCCAGGCGCCCCTACCTGAAAGTTTGTTTAAAGGCAGAATGTGTGTCCCTGCCAGGGTAGGAGAATGGCACAGGGGTGACTCCTGCTGAGCTACAAGTTGGTTCAAATAACATTTGTTTTCTTTATGAAATAAAACTGATATTTATCAAAGCCTTCCAGACCATGGAATGAAAAGTGCTGACATAATCCTGCCAAGTCTCCTTAAGATACAAGGGACCGTTTTCTTTTGCCTATCTGACTCTTCGTGGGCCCTTCCCCCGCCCATCAAAGGGCAGGGAAAGGTAATTTCAGAAGTGCTTTGCATAATAGTTGGTGTTATAAACCTTCTGCCCTGTCTAGTTGGAATATTTCCTTTTGATGGTTGCTACTGTCATGTTTTCTCCAAATATGGGAATTATGGTAAAGATGTAAGAGTTGGGAACACTACCCAGGCAGAAAAAGGAATTGACACACACAATGATATGGATGCATCTCAGAATAATTCTGGGTAAAAGAAGCACTCTGACCAAAAAAAAAAAAAAAAAAAAAAAAAAAAAAAAGAATATATACCCTGTGATTCTGTTTGTATGAAGCCCTAGAAAGTGCTAATAGTAATAGAAAACAGATTAGTGGTTGGGAGAAGGAGGAAGGAAAAGAGAGGGTGACAAAGGGCATAAGGAGACTTGGTGATGGATGTATTGGTTATCTCGATTGGGTGTTTACATACACTGATGTATAACAACTTATAAAACTATACACTTTAAGCATGCACTGTTGATTGTATGTCAGTTACACCTCAGTGAAACTGAAAAGAAAGGCCACAGGGAGATACCACTACCTGCTCATAAGATTGGCTCAAATTTTTTAAAAGGCTGGAAAGCCACTTGTAACTTTCATACCTTGCTGATGGGATGGTTCACCCATTTCTCTGTGGTCCAGCAGAGAAGCAAAGGTGGTTGTCCACACATGGGGCTGCTCTGAGCATTTATAGCTGATTCGTTGAGAGCCCCAGACTGGAAAAAACTCCAGTGACCATCAACAGGTAAATGGATAAACAAAGGCTCTTCATCAGTTGTAGTCTTGAGTACATACACTTGAGCTTCTTTTCCGCTTCAAGTGGTAGATACTTGAGTAAAGAGTTGCTACCTAGTCTTCAGAATTGATCATGGAAAGCTGTCCTAACATATTCTTGACCATCCAGGTAAACAGATCATCTTCTGCTTATTGGCCTGTAGTTTATGAAGAGGAGGAATGAGTTCAGTACAGTGTAGGGGTTCCCAAAAGTGGTGAGTTTAAAATTTGAGTGGGACTTTTTCCATCTGGTTTTGTGAACACTCAGTTCAGCGGTGATATAAGCACACCTTGAGAAAATTGGAGATAAGACACTGGTAACCTTGCAGGAGCTCTGGCAAGTGTTCGTTCAGCACTTTCCCCTTATTGGATTTCCCAAGTTTGTTTCTAGATGGTTAGGACTCCATGGGCGATTAGGGGAGAGGAAGGGCTTACGTGTCATTGGTGAGTAATCAAAATGACTTCTTACTCTGTTCACCCTAATTTCTTAACCCAGATTGAATACGATTGGGGGCAAAGTTAACACTTGAACAATACCAGTGTTAACTGAAAAACAAAGTTCTTTCTCAATCCTGCTCCCACAACCAAAAAAAGGACACGTTTTTCTAATAGCTTTATTAAGGTATGATCACATACCATAGAGTCTTGTATGTAAATGTGCAATTCAGTGTTTTTCTAGTAAATTTGCAGAGTTGTTCGACCATCACACAATTCATGGTCTTTGATTCTTCTTCATGCCTCTTTTTCTTCCCCTTCCCGCCCCTCCCCTTTTTGCTCCTGTTAATCTTTGTAGTTTCTCATCAGCATCTCTAATGTAGGGAAATGGAGTGACCCCGTGCTCAGCCACTCCCAGTCACATTTTGGGGGAGATTCACCACCCTGTATGCTGGGCCCTCCACGTGGGTGCAGAGTCAGGAACGGAGGCCTGGTTACGCTGC